GTTAGTTTTGACACATTTTATGCCGTTTCTTGCCACACAGTTAAGCGAATCACTGCAGTGAATCGTGTGGTCATGTGGCCTTCCCCCCCCCCATTGACTTTGCTTGTCGGAAGCTGGCTGGGAAGTTTAGAAATGGTGATCACGCTGTCATAAATACATGTGAATTGCCAAGCACTCGAAGTTTGATCACGTGGGGATGCTGTGACAGTCGGAAGTGCAAGGACTGCTCATAAGTCACTTTTTTCAGTGACGTTGTGACTTCAAAAGGTCATTAAACAAACAATTGCAGGTCGAGGATTACCTGTATTGTGTTCTTTCATTGTTGTCCTGTCCCTATTTTATGATTTGAACTTTTGAGGCTTATGAATAAAGTTGAACTTAGCCGATAGCTTTAATGTTTGTATTCCCCCCCCCCCCGTTGTTTTAGGTTTTGCAGATTTTGTAAGGGTTTCTTTGGTTATTTTCTTACTGCTTCCATGAAATGGAAGCTAAAAGGCGTAATAAGCAAACAAACAAACAAAACAATGGCCACTCTCTGCCAAAGGTTTTGCAAAAACTCCCCATTGTTTTATCTCTCCTTGTAATGCACTCTGAAAAACCCCTTATTAATCCTTATCTTCTTTTCCTGAACTCATGCTGAGAAATACCGGGGAGGTTCCCTGCCACTCACCTATTGTGGTGTAAGGAGATCCTAATGATAATGCTATTGGGCTAGGTCAGGGGTAGGCAACCTTGGCTCTTTTATGACTCCCAGAATTCCTGAGCCAGCCATGCTGAGGAGAAATGGAGAGGTTTCCATGCTGAGCCATGCTGGCTCAGGAATTCTGGGAGTTGAAGTCCACGAGTCATAAAAGAGCCAAGGTTGCCTACCCCCGGGCTAGGTCAAATAATTGACTCTTTAAATGCTACTCATCTTCCTTGGGAGAAGAAAAAAACCCACAAAGGCTTACATAAACCAACAAAATACATATGGACTACACAGTGGTGGGATTCAAATATGTGAACAGCCGGTACTCTGTGGGGATGCCCTTCTGGAAGTCCATTCTGAGCCTGCGCAACAAAAAATTAGCTACTGGTTCTGCCGAAGTGGTGCGAACCGGCTGAATCCCACCACTGGGACTACAGCAGAGGTCCCAAACCTTTTGGGCACCAGGGACCGGTTCTGTGGAGAGAAGTTTTTCTGCAGACCGGAGGGGGCGTGGTTTTCTGTGCTGCCTGCATCTCGTGGATGGGGCTTTGCTTGTTTGTGCGGACCGGTTGCTGACATGCCGCAGCCCGGTACTGGTTCACAAACCGGGGGTTGGGGACCCCTGGACTACAGTAGAGTCCCCCAACCTTTCTGGGTTGGCAGCCCAGAGGGGGGAGGGGGGAAAGAGGGAATGGTTTTGTGGAAGGGGTGTGCGTGTGCATGCGCATGTGCTCATGCAAGTGAGGCCGACAGTACCCATGATGCTTGCATGAGGCCCTGAGTGCTCACATGAGTGGGCCGTGAGCATGTGTGACATTTCTGCGAGTGGGGCCGCGAGCGCCTGTAATACTCGTGCAAGAGGGGCCCCAAGCACACCCAATGCTTGTGTGAGTGGAACTGTGCAAGCATGTTCACACACTTGCCAGCCACCCACGCGTCCCGGTTGCAAATAGGCATATGGCCCAGTAGTGGGCTACAGGTAGTCCTCGACTTACAACAGTTCGTTTAGTGACCATTCAAAGTTACAACAGCACCAAAAAAGTGACTTATGCCCCGTTTTTCACACTTACAACCACTTCAGCATCCGCATGGTCACGTGATCAAAATTGGGATGCTTGGCAACTGACTCAGATTTATGACGATTGCAGTGTCCCAGGATCATGTGATCCCCTTTTATGACTTTCAGACAAGTAAAGTCAATGGGAAAGCCAGATTCACTTAACAACTGTGTTACTAACTGAACAACTTAGTTCTAGGTTGCTTCTCTCCTTGATTAGTTTCCATCCATTGTTTCTTGTCCTGCCTTCAGGTGCTTTGGAGAATAGGTTGACCCCCTCTTCTTTGTGGCAGCCCCTCAAGTATTGGAAGACTGCCATCATATCACCCCTAGTCCTTCTTTTTACTAGACTGGACATACCCAATTCCTGCAACCGTTCTTCATATAGTCTTCATAACTCAACTATCTCTCTCCTTCCTATCAGTCGTGGTTTGCGCTATCAGTTGTTTGGGATGATTGGGGTCTCCAGAAATTGGCTTGGAGAGCTGATGGGTACAGGTCTTCTTTCCAAGCCTAGAGAGCTGTGTTCTAGGTTGGGAGAGGTGGTGGATAAATGGAGTGCAGTTTCTGACTGATAGATAAATCTGTGGGTGTGCTTATCTGTCAAAATATTGCCCTTCCTGGATATGAAGACACGATCCTCCAGCTGTAAGCCAGAACAGAGACCACGGGGATAGCAAATTTATATTTATATTTCTCTCCATAGGTGGAAGAAGAATACAGTAACTAAGCTGGAAATAAGTGCCCTAAAATTACCATCTAACCCAGTGGTTCTCAACCTCGGCAACTTTAAGATAGGTGGACTTCAATTCCCATGGCTGGCTGGGGAATTCTAGGAGTTGATGTCCACCCATCTTAAAATTGCCGAGGTTGCAAAACTCTGATCTAACCTATTCCTTGCATCAGTGAGAAGACAGAAGGATGAACACATGTAAAATGCCTTGTGTGAACAAATTGGAAGGTCAAAGATCAGGCCAAATTATCTTGGAGTTTTCAGCAACAGGGACCCAAATCTGTCAACCAGGATTTGGATCTGGGTTTTTTGGGGTTTTTTGGGGGGTGTTTACTGTGTTTACATGGACTACTCAAAACTGAGTTTTCTATCCCATCACAGGAAGGATCATATGAGAGTCTTTTTCACGTGTGTATAGAATAGAATAGAATAGAATAGAATAGAATAGAATAGCAGAGTTGGAAGGGACCTTGGAGGTCTTCTAGTCCAACCCCCTGCTTAGGCAGGAAACCTACACCATTTCAGACAAATAGTTGTCCAATCTCTTCTTAAAAACTTCCAGTGTTGGAGCATTCACAACTTCTGGAGGCAAGTTGTTCCAGTGATTAATTGTTCTAATTAATCTAATTAATTAATTAAGCGTAGTTAGAAGACATCAGCAATGATGGCTGAAATAGGGACTGATATCTTTTAGGAGCTGGTTAACACAACACACTAAGCCATAACATGTTGGCTTGGATCTTAGCTTATTGTGTAAAGTTTGGAAACATGGCTTGTGGCATAGTTAGTACATTGTATAAAGCCACAATCAACAGATTATTCAATAAACAATGGATAAGCAAACCATGGTTTAGTGCAAAGTGTGAACCAATTCATTACTTGTGTTTAGACAATACATTTCAATAAAGACATGGTAGATACATTAAGGCAAATACAGGTAGTCTTACAACTATTTGTTTAGTGATGGCCTGGAGTTACAAAGCCCCTGGAAAAAGTGACCTATGACTGTTTTCACATTTATACCCATTGTAGCATTCCAACGGTCTCATAATCAAAATTCAGATGTTTGGCAACTGATTCATATTTATGATGGTTTTACATGTCTCGGGTCATGTCATCAATTTTTGTGACCTTCTGACAAGCAAAGTCAATGGGCAAACCAGATTCACTTAGCTATTGCAGCGATTCACTTAACAGCTGTGGCAGCAAAGGTCATAAAATGGGGCAAAATTCACTTAACAAATGTCTCGCTTAGCAACATAAATATTGGGCTCAATTGTGGTCGTAAGTCAAGGACCACCTGTATGTTAAGTTGGAGTTTGTTTGTGGCCTTCCCAGCCAGCTTGGGACAAGAATGGGAGAAGCCCGACTTGCTTAACACGCAATTTACTTAATAACCACAGTGATTCACTGAACAAAATAGGTTGTAAAATTGGCTGTGATTCACTTAACAACTGACTTGCTTGGCAACAGAAACTCTGGTTCCAATTGTGGTCATAAGTTGAGGACTACCTGCATCCACTTGCCTAGCTTACGTTATGCACACTTCAAAAACGGATTACAATTCTGTAACCAGGTTAAGTGTGCAGCCGTTAAATACTTATGCCTTCTTTCCAAACATCCAAATTCTGCTCCCCTGCCCTCTCTTTTTGAAATCAGCCAGCCCAAAACTTCAAAAAAAAAAAAAAAAGGCACTGACCGATGGGCCGAATTTACAAAATGCCGATAAATCAATGTTGCTTTGCCAAAAGGTTTTCTTTTCTTTCATTCTTCTGATTCGCCAATCCAAAACATTGCAAGTTAAACCCTGTCCTTACAAAAAACGAAGAGAGAGAGAGACATAATAGGAGACTTTGTGATCCTATGTACAGGTGGGTGGGGGGGTGGGGGGGGGAGAGGCATTGCACTTAATTTCTTAATACATCCATTAGATAGACAACATTCACTTTTCTTTAATATAAATCTCTGCGGAGAGGGATAGGGGAGGGGAAGGGAGAGCCGGCATGTGGAGCTCCTCTATATACACTTCAGTTGGTTCAGTTCATCAGCACGGGTGGTTCCCCCCTTCGCAACCTGACGTAACAGCCCCAAGTCCTCTCTCTGGTCCTCTTCGGGAGAAGCATGTAACTTTATAAATACGATTGATCTCCAGCTTTTGAGGTTCTTTTCCAAGCTTCAAGCATCCGTTTTGTTCTGGTGTTGTGGGTTGGAAACGAATATCCTCCAGGAGGAAAATACTTTGGCATTCCTTGAGGCAAAAAAAAGTCTTGGAAAACACTACGGGAAACGCTCGGTGTGAAGGACACCTTTCTGGGGCCCCCCCTCTTGAAGGAAGTCCCAGCTGCTGCTGTCTTTGAAAACTTCTAATCTTCTTTCCAGGCTGAGCAGGATCTCTTTGGGATCAGGCTCAGCAAGCTACTCGGGCTTTGCCGCAGCGGCCTCACGATCTCATTCTGGTCAGGCAGGACGTTGTGGAAAAATAATTTCCAAGTTGCTAAAGGCACAGGGAACTGGATAGAGTATCACCAGGCTTGTAACGGACACTGGAAAAAAAGAGAAAGAAGGTTACAGAGATTAGAATATGAGGAAGTGTCTTAGATCTGGAGAGAATCTAATCAAACTAATCAAGGAGAGAAGCAACCTGGAATTAAGGAGAAAACTTCCTAACAGTGAGGACAATTAACCAGTGGAACAGTGGAACTGGAGGTTTTTAAGAAGAGATTGGACAGTCATTTGTCTGAAAGGGTATAGGGTCTCCCGCTTGAGAAGGGGGCTGGACTAGAAGACCTCCAAGGTCCCTTCCAGCTCTATTCTGATTGATTCTGACTGATTTGAGGATGGACAGACTAAGGCAGTGATGGCGAACCTTTTGGAGACCGAGTGCCCAAAAACCGGCCCAGCCCCGTTCTGCCCGCCCGCTCCTACCCTGCTCCACCCTCACCTCGCCCACCCTCAGGGCCATCTACGGCATGCCGCAGATCGCCCAGGCGGCCCTGCTGCGCCCTGGTGGCCACGCCCTCCACCCGCACCCCGCAGCATGATCTGCTGCCCAGCTGCCATGTGCTTGGCTGTGCAGCTCCGCATGGGCCGCACCCGGGGGTGACTCTTCTCCGGGGGGGGGCTGCTGGTGAGGAGGGGGCTATGGGGGAGGCTGGGGCGACTGCGTGCGTGCCCACAGAGAGGGCTCCAAGTGCCGCCTCTGGCACTAGTGCCATAGGTTCGCCACCACTGGACTAAGGCCTTTGGGGGTGCTTGTAACTCATCAAACATTCTCTGAATTGACTGTGTTCCCTTCATTTTGAGGCAGGAAAGACAACACTGAAATATAAGATCTAACATAATACAGGTTGTCCTCGACGTACGACCACAATTGAACCCAAACGTTCTGTTGCTAAGCAAGACAGTTGTTAAGTGAACTTTGCCCCCTTTTATGACTTTTTTTTTTGCCATGGCTGTTAAGCAAATCACTGCATTTGTTAAGTGACTCGTGCGTTGGTTAAGCGAATCAGGCTTCCCCCCATCGACTTTGCTTATCGGAAGCTGGCTGGGAAGGTTATTATAAATAGTGATCCCAAAGGCGCTTTTTCATGAGGTAACTGGACTTTCTTTTTTCTGTTTGAAGACATTTCGCTTCTCATCCAAGAAGCTTCTTCAGCTTTGTCTGGATCAGGGGTAGGCAACCTTGGCTCTTTTATGACTCGTGGACTTCAACTCCCAGAATTCCTGAGCCAGCATGGCTCAGCATGGAAACCTCTCCCTTTCTCCTCAGCATGGCTGGCTCAGGAATTCTGGGAGTTGAAGTCCACGAGTCATAAAAGAGCCAAGGTTGCCTACCCCTGGTCTGGATGTTGGGAAGAAGCTGAAGAAGCCTCTTGGATTAGAAGTGAAACGTCTTCAAAGAGAAAAAAACAAAGTCCAGTTGCCTCGTGAAAAAGCGCCTTTCGGATAACCAGGGGGCAAAGTTCACTTAACAAGTGACTGAGAATCTCCACAGATGTTGTAAATGGTGATCACGTGACCCTAGGATAATGCAACCCTTGCACAGATAGTCCTCGACTTACAACCATAACTGAGCCCCCAATTTGAGACATTTATTAAGTGAATTTTGCCCCGTTTTATGACCTTTCTTCCACAGTTGTTAAGTGAATCGCTGCAGTGGTTAAGTGAGCATCATGTTTATTAAATGAATCTGGCTTCCGCACCGTTGACCTTGCTTGTCGGAAGCTCACAAAAGGTGATCGCCGGACCCCTGGGACACGGCAACCGTCATAAATATGAGTCAGTTGCCAAGCGCCTGAATTTTGATCACATGACCACGGGGATGCTGCAATGATCAAGAGTGTGAAAAACGGTCATCGGTCCCTTTTTTCAGAGCTTTTGTAACTTTGAACGGGCACAAAATGAATGGTGGTAAGCCAAGGACCATTTTGTAATACAAGAATTTGCTTCTTTTCCCCTCTTCATCTTTCGGTTCCATGTTGTGCTATTGCATTATTATTTTTTTAGCTTGCAAACCTGCGTGCGGAGATTTAGCTCCGAGCTAACCGAAAGCCTATCTGGTGAACATCAAAGCAGAAATGCCCAAATGTTGACCGCCATCAAGATAATGACCTGTTTTAAAGCTGAATTTTCTTCCCTGCTACTCAGGATCCCCAGCAAAGCGCAGCAAGTCGCGTCTTGCTACGTTTTGATGAAGGAAAATGCTTCCTGAATCGAGGCAGGCTTGTTCCAACAAGCCACCATCAAAGTTAACGGGTGGTACAGAAAGAATCATCTATCAAGGGCAAAGTTAGGGTTGAATGCATGCTAGATGAATCAGCAGGGCCTTCTAAGGAAATGAGCTCCTCCTGGAGCCTGGATGCGCGTGACTGCCTGACTGATGGAGATAGGCAGGTTAGAGGTTTCTAGTGCTCCATCCATTGGGTGAAAATATTGGATATTGTATTTACTGGATATACTACTAAGCCACCCAGAATCTACATTTTGGGGTCTATGAGTCAGCGCTGAGTCCTGACAACTGCCTGGATGAGTTCCTGCGATTTGCTTGGCAAGGTTTTTCAGAAGCGGTTTGCCACTGCTTGTTTCCTAGGGCTGAGCGAGTTGGACTGGCTCAAAGTCACCCAGCTGGCTTGGTGCCTAAGGCAGGACTAGAACTCAGGGTCTTTCAGATTCTAAACTGGTGCCTAAAACCACTTATCCAAATGTTATTTTTTTCTCTCCCTTCATATCCATATTCATATTCTGTGGAGCCCTTGGTGCTCTCTGAGCTTGGTGGTTTTCTTGCAGACGTTTCATTACCCAACTAGGTAACACAATCAGTGCTAAGTGACCCCATAGTTCAGTGGTCCCCAACCTTTGCGGCTTGGTGGCCCGGCTGGGGGGGAGGAGAGAGGAACCAGGCCGTATGAGCGGTGAGCCCGTGCGGGCACGCAGCTCGACTCACGTGACTGGCGGACCAGCATCCACGCACATGCACATACAGCTCGACTAGTTGAGCTGCATGCACACCAGCCCACCACTCACGCGGCCCTCTCCCCCCCAGTCGTGTGAGGTGCAGTGTGCAAGCTGTGAGCACAGGAGTGCATGCCAGCCCACCATTCATGCTAGTCCAGCTGTGTGTGCGCATGCGCATTGCCCTGCCACTCGCGCAGCCTGGTTGCAAATAGACTGCGGTCTGGTAGTGAGCCACAGCCCAGGGGGTGGGAACCCCTGCCATAGTTCAACCTTGAACTACAAATGTTCACTTCTACCCAGATCCATATTGATGTCCAAAACCCCAGTGGGAATAACGAGCCTTGGGAAGAGGTTTTGGCTTTTTAACATACAGAATATGTTCAGTTTTACTACTCAAGTCACATTTCTACTCTCCCAAGCATTGGAGGAGACAGGATACCCAGGGTAGAGAAAATCCACATTTCTGAAAAAAATTTCTCAGGAGCATTGGTCACACTGGTGTAACTGAACCTCTGGTCTTTTTTTTTTGTTGTTGTTAATGTGTGTTGCTTCTTTCAGCAAGGAAGAAACCATAATCCAATCAAGACTGGCAGGGCAAGGCTTTATATATATATATATATATATAAAACTGAATTAAAAAAAAAACGAGTAGAGGTTCAGTTACACCACTGTGGCCAAAGCTTCTGAGAGTTTTTTTCAGAAATATGGATTTTTCCTATCCTGGGTAATATATACGTACGGGTAAACCTCAACTTACGACCACAATTGAGCCCAAAATTTATGTTGCTAAGTGAGAAATTTGTTAAGTGAGTTTTGCCCCATTTTACGACTTTTCTTGCCACGATTGTTAAGTGAATCACTGCAGTTGTTAAGTTAGTAACACAGATGTTAAATGAATCTGGTTTCCCCATTGACTTTGCTTGTCGGAAGGTCGCAAAAGGGGATCACGTGACCCCAGGATGCTGCAATTGTCATAAATATGAGTCAACTGACAAGCACCCAAATGTAAATCATGTGACCATGGGAAACGGTCGTTAAGTGTGAAAAATGGTCATCAGTCACTTTTTTCTGTGTCGTTGTAACTTCGAACAGTCACTAAGCAAACTGCTGTAAGTCTAGGACTCCCTGTAGTCCTTAATTTATGGCTATAATTGAGCCTGGCAGTTAGGTTCCTAAGTTGTGACGGTCATAAAGCGGGTCACTACCCCCATTGATTTTGCTTGTTGGAAGCTGGCTGGAAAGGTTGCAAATGGTGCTCGCATGACCCATGACGCTGCAACTGTTGTAAATTCACCCTGGTTGCCAAGTACCCAAATTTTGATCATCTGACTGTGAGGATGCTGCAATCGTCATATGTAGGAGGACCGGTTGAAAGTCAGTTTTTTCAGTGCCATTGTAGCTTCGAATGGTCACTAAATGTAACGGTTGTAAATTGAGGACTACCTGTATATTGTCCATGGATACAATGACAAGAAAATATTGATCTGAAGCCTCTGTCACTTGTGCAGAACCTAGTTTGAGAGGTCCACAAAGGCCTCTTCACTGGATTCCTAAATTTTAACCTGTGTCTGGCAGTACTGGACTTGTACAGATAATCCTCAACTTACAACCATTCATTTAGTGACTGTCCAAAGTTAAAAGCACTGAAAAAGTGACTTATGACTACTTTTCACACTTACGACCATTGCAGCATCCTCAGGGTCATGTGATCGAAATTGGGATGCTTGGCAACTGGCATGTACTTAGGACGGTTGCAGTGTCTCGGAGTCAAAGTCAATTGGAAAACCAGGTTCGCTTTACAACCATGTTACTACCATAACTTAACAACTGCAGTGTTTTGCTTGACAACTATGGCAAGAAAGGTCACAAAACTCACTGAACAACAGAAAGGTTGGGCTCAACTGTGGTCGTAAGTTGAGGACTACCTGTATCAGAATTCAAAAGTGCATTCCAAACATTGGTGAACACACCCCATTATTATGATATTTGGCACAAGTCTCTCAAAGGGGGGAAAAAAATCCCACATGCCAGCTTATCTGTTCAGAAGTTCAAGGTTTTCTCTTCTAACTATCTAACAATCGATAGAGGCCACATATTTCCCACAGTCTGCAAAGCTGCCTTTGAAAAAAATGAAAGAATGGAAGAAAAGAGGCTTTTTTTGTCTGCTCTGGAACGATTTTTCATCACACACAAAAAAAGAGCGGACAGGTTTACACAAAAGGACTCTCGGGTTTATTTTTCATAGAGATGCTAAAGTGCTCCATTATCAAGAAGTGTAAAAACCAGGATGTCCCAAAGGTGCTTTTTTCAGGAGGCGACTGGACTTTCTTGTTTTTCTTTGAAGACATTTCGCTTCTCATCCAAGAAGCTTCTTCGGCTCTGACTGGATGGTGGGGAAGGGAAGGATTTATACTCCTTGCAGACAGCTGGTCATTTGCCTTCTTTTAGAGCAGGGGTCCCCAACCTTTTGGGCACCAGAGACCGGTTCCGTGGAGAGAGGTTTTTCCGCGTACCGGAGGGGGCGTGGTTTTGTGTGCTGCCTGCATCCCACGGACGGGACTTTGCTTGTTTACGCAGCCCGGTTTCTGGCATGCCACGGCCCAGTGCCGATCCATGAACCAGGGGTTGGGGATCCCTGTTTTAGAGAGTCATTGAGGCCACTTGGAGGTTTATCTGTGTCCTCAGGGTTGTAGACACTGTTCGTTTAGCATTTCCAAGAAGGCTCCACATCCATTTGCATTACTCAGGTGACGCTCAGGACACAGAGAACCCTCCAAGTGGCCTCAGTGACTCTCTAAAACAGTGGTGGCGAACCTATGGCACGCGTGCCAGAGGCAGCACTCAGAGCCCTCTTTGTTGGCACGCGTGCCAGAGGCAGCAGCAGGTGCATCAGGCCGCCACCACCCCCCGGAGCAGGAACCCCCGCCCAGCACAAAGGAGGTGAAGCGGCCGACTAGCAAGCTCGACTAGAGGTGGTAGAGCAGAGGTCACCAACCATTGTCGATTGGCAGACTGGAAGAAAAGTGAGGGGGAAGTATTTTACATGTGCGTGCGCACGCATGGGGCCGTGAGTATGCACACGCTGCAAATGAGGCGGGGCTAGTGCCTGCATGATACTGACTAGCCCTGCCCCATTCTTGCTTGGTGCAGCGCCTTGTATCTGCACCCCGCGGCGCAGCGGTGGCCGTTTTTGCACCTTGCAGCACGGTGGCCCATTTTTGCGCCCCTGGTTTTTGCATGCCCCCCCCCGAGGGCACCACAATGCTGATGGGCCCCTGGCACTTTGCGATAAAGAAGTGGGTTTTGGGTTGCGGTTTGGGCACTCGGTCTCTAAAAGGTTTGCTTTCACTGCTCTAAAAGATCAACCCAAATTCTTCTTACAATTAGTCCTTGCACTTATTGCAGCATCCCCATAGTCATGTGATCCAAATTTGGGCGTATGGCAATCGTTATCACCATTTGTGATCTTCGCAGCCAACTTCTATCAAGCAAAGTCAATGGAGGAAGCCAGATTAGTTTAAGGACCATGCAATTCACTTAACAACTGCAGTGATAGATGTAAAATTGGGCAGTTGACTCAGTTAACAAGTTAACATAACAACCACCTCATTTAGCAACTGAAATTACTGATCCCAACTGTGGTGGTAAGTCAAGGACTGCCTGTATTAATTTCCCCAAATAATATTAAATCTGTTTACCTGTTTATTGGAAGACATGTTGGTTAATGAACTGAGGCTGCTGGTATCCGTGACCACCATCGCTGAAGGGAACCGTGATGTGTGAGAATACTGAGGAGGTTCTTGCTTGTGAGCGTACACTATGGAAAAAGGCCAACAGTCATTGTTTAGTGTGTATGTGTGTTTGTGTGTGAAAGCGAGTGACAGAGAGAGAGTGAATCAGATGAACAGAAAGAATGACAACAATTTTAGAGTACAGCCCTAAATTGCTGTCCCATTGAATATCTTATTCCAAGCATCACAGAACCAAATTGCCAGAACCTTCCAGGGGTAAATCAGCAACTTTTAAAAACCTCAACTTATTTATGGCTGGCTGAGGAATTCTGGGAGTTGAAGTCCACAAGTCATGAAGTTGCTAAATTTGGAGACCCCGTCCTAATCCATTACATGCTGAATATCTTACAAAAGGAATTTTTCCTTTCTTTCCACCAAGGATTTCTACCTGGGCAGAGGGTGGACTAGACTAGAAGACCTCCAATGTCCCTTCCTATTCTCCAAAGCGCCTGAAGGCAGGACAAGAAGCAACGGATGGAAACTAAGCAAGGAGAGAAGCAACCTAGAACTAAGGAGAAACTTCCTGACAGTGAGAACAATTAACCAGTAGAACAACCTGCCTCCAGAAGGAGTGAATGCTCCAACACTGGAAGTTTTTAAGAAGAGACTGGACAGCCATTTGTCCGAAATGGTATAGGGTTTCCTGCCTGAGCAGGGGGTTGGACTAGATGACCTTCAAGGTCCCTTCCAACTTTACTATTATTATTATTATTAATTCTATAACTTTGTAATCTTAAGTCCAACCTCAGAGGCCTTCATGCTAAGCAGGAGTCAGGCTCAGATCAGGAATAAAACAACTTTTATTAAGACTAAAACATTTGAAGAACGGTTGCAGGAATTTCATATCTCTAGTTTAATTAAAAGAAGGACTAGCGGTGACATTAGCAGTCTCCCAATATTTAAGGGGCTGCCACAAAGAAGAGGGGGTCAAGCTATTTTCCAAAGCACCTGAAGGCAGGACAAGAAGCAACGGATGGAAACTAATCAAGGAGAGGACCAGCCTAGAACTAAGGAGAAACTTCCTGACAGTGAGAATAATTAATCAGCGGAATGGCTTGCCTTCAGAAGTTGTGAATGCTGGAAGTTTTAAAGAAGTGATTGGATAGCCATTTGTCTGGAATGATATAAGAATTTCCTGCTAGAGCAGGGTGTTGGACAAGAAGACCTCCAGGTTAACTCTGTGATTCTGTGATTCTGAGGACTTCAGGTTCTCTCCAATAATCCAGGTTGGCATCCTTGATATTCCTGCACTTCTTTGCAACTGACCTCTGATGTTAGGCATAGAAAAAGTGATTGTTCTGAAACAGTTTTTGTAAACTTGGGGGGCTAAATAATAATAATAATAATAATAATAATAATAATAATAATAATAATAATAATAATAATAATAATAATAATAATAGTAAAGTTGGAAGGGACCTTGGAGGTCATCTGGTTCAACCCCCTGCTCAGGCAGGAGACCCTATACCATTTCAGACAAATGGCCGTCCAGTCTCTTCTTAAAAACTTCCAGTGTTGGAGCATTCACCACCTCTGGAGGCAGGTTGTTCCACTGTTTAATTGTTCTAACTGTCAGGAAGTTTCTCCTTAGTTCTAGGTTGCTTCTCTCCTTGATTAGTTCCCATCCGTTGCTTCTTGTCCTGCCTTCAGACGCCTTGGAAAATAGCTTGACTCCCTCTTCTTTGTGGCAGCCCCTGAGATATTGGAACAGTGCTATCCTGTCCCCCCTCGTCCGTCTCTTCATTAAACTAGACATACCCAATTCCATCAACCGTTCCTTATATGCTTTAGCCTCCAGTCCCCTAATCATCTTTGTTGCTCTTCTCTGTACTCTTTCTAGGCCTGGAATCTGAGTCCCCTTGGTTTAAGTGCACTACTCTGATCTAGCATTCATCAAGCCCTTCCCGTACAGATATTTTGGATTACAACTCCCATCCCCATCTAAAAAGAATATAGTTGGTTGTATTCAGACATACAATCTAGGTTGAAAAAACCTGCCATTTCCTGCTGTGTGTATCTCCCCATATTCTTGCCTCACTGCTAGGATTTAACTTACGGTTTAAGACATCAAGTATAACTAAAGTATTCAAGAATACTTTGCTAACTGAAAATTATTTTTTTTTCTCCTGATAAAGGAGAAATTATGAGGAACTAAATGTTGCAAAATGCTGGTCCAAAATGCTCTTAGCTTATAAGCAGTCTTTTTCTCATAAATAGACGTTTGAAAAAGCAATTAAACCAACACTGCCTGTGCATGAGAAAAAGGACTACAGGTCCATGAGGAAAACAGATGGGGTTTGGATTGTACAGTTGTTGTTATATCCTGATTGAGACAGGGGCAAATATCTTGCTGTACTTATGGCCTCTGTTACTGTCGCTTCTCCCAGTTTCTATCCTTCTATCTCAGTCAATACCCCAAAAGATCCTTACTGTGTGAATTCTGCAGCTGTGTCACCGCCGCCATGAACGGCTGTTGAGCCATCGGATTGGTTGACTGTTGCATGATTGACTGCTGGTGTGGGCTGTGCAGCTGTTGGGAGAACTGGACCGGTTGTAGGGCTACACTGTTGATAACGGGGACGCTCTGGGCCTGCGAACTGTTTAGGCCTGAAAGAGAGAGAGATAATCTGAGGCGTTTGATTACAAAGCTCCAAAGTCTTCAGATTTCCCCTGTAATACCCACAACCTCTCTATAATTTCCAAGATGAAAATTCTCAACTCTTTCCATAGTCTCGAACCTGATTTTCCAAGGCATGATTTCTTTTTAATCGGAGTGTGACTGTCTTTTTGTTTGTCTTTTTGTTAAAGATGTTGGGTTGCTTCTGGCTAAAGATAATTAAAAGACAATCTCTCCCGCATTGGATTTGAACCATGGTATAACAGTTTTAACCAAGAGTCCTCTTTGAAGTTATGACAGCATTGAAAAATTAACTGTCCTCACATTTACAACCATCGCAACAACCCCCATGGTCATAGGATCGTGGTTTGTGACCTTCACAACCGGCTTCTGACAGGTAAAGCCAGTGGGGAAGTCAACAGGAAGTTGCAACTTAGTCATTTCGTGTTTTGCTTAACAGTCATGAGGGATTCGCTTAACAACTGTGGTGAAAGGGAAGTCATAAGCCCATTCCAGTCATATGACATCTTGGTTAATGACTGTGTTGTTTAGCAACAGAATTGCTGATCCCAATTGTGGTCACTAACCGAGGACAACCTATCCTAAAAAATGGCAGGACACCCCTATTTCTACTTAAAAAATAAATGGAAGAGACACCTTTAAGTCAAGCTTGACATGCATGCTACCTTTCTGATACTGGTAGTAATACCATAGTAGGGATTTATTTATTTCTAAGGCCACCCAACTCATCAATGACTGAAAAGCAGTTAGTTCTCCACTTACAACCACAATCAAGTCCAAAAATTTCTGTTGTTAAACAAGGCAATTGTTAAGTGAGTTTTGCCCAATTTTAAAATTCTTTTTGCCCCAGTAAACAAAACACTGCAGCTATTTAGCGAATTGTGTAGCTGTTAAGCAAATCTGGCTTTCCTCCCCCCCCCCCCCCCTTGTCTTTGCTTGTCAGAAGCCAGCTGAGAAGTTTACAAAGGGTGACCACATGACCCAAGGACAGCGCAACTTTTTTAAACATAGAATAGAACGGAACAGAACAGAACAGAACAGAACAATAAAATATGGAGTGGAGTGGAGTGGAGTGGAGTGGAACGGAACGGAACAGAACAGAACAGAATAATAAAATATGGAATGGAATGGAGTGGAGTGGAGTGGAATAGAATAGAATAGAATAGAATAGAATAGAATAGAATAGAATAGAAATAACAAGAGTTGGAAGGGACCTTGTAGGTCATCTAGTCCAACCCCCCACCCAAGCAGGAGACCCTACACCATTTCTGACAGATGGCAGTCCAAGTGCCCGAATTTTGATCACATGACTGCAGGGTTGCTGCAGTGGTTGTAAGTGTGAAAAACAGTCATAAATCATTTTTTTTCAATGCTGTGGTAACTTCAAATGGTCACTAAGTAAATGGTTGTAAGTCGAGGACCACCTGTACAAAAAGAAAAAGAAGGGTAAAAAAGCACCAAACAGAAAAGGGAGTGGGTTAATTTGGTGGAACAAATGTCCACTAAAATCCATAAAGCACCTGACAGAGGATCTCACATCCCCACAACTCCAGAATCTGGAGCAAGAGCTTGATTTTCCAAGCATAGTTTAAAATAAGGCTAGTATTCTTCACCATCTAACTAATCAGGTTCCTCTTCATTTAACTTCCAGTATCAACCAAGGTTAGTTAGGGGTTGCTACCACTTTTAAATGTCTATGGAGATTCTCAGTCATTCGTGTCATGATTGTCCCCACAGTGCTTTTCGAAAGGCAACTGGGCCTTCTTTGTTTTTTCCTTGAAGATGTTTCGCTTCTCATCCAAGAAGCTTCTTCAGCTCAGATTGAATGATGGGGAATAAATCCTTCCATTCCCCACCATTGTCAGAACTGAAGAAACCTCTTGGATGAGAAGCGAAACATCTTCAAGAAAAAACAAAGGAAGACCAAAAGCACTTTTGGGACTACTTTTAAAATTACTATTATTGGAATGACATTATAGAAGCTCTGCCACTTTTTGCAATGTAAAAAAAAAGGGATAGGGCTTTAATCCCAGAGACGTAGGCCACCATTTTGACTTTTTTGACCCTTCCCTTGCAGAGATCATCAACCCTCAAGTCCTTTTAGGTTGAGGCACAAAAAGTATTGTCTTTCTTTCTTTCTTTCTTTCTTTCTTTCTTTCTTTCTTTCTTTCTTTCCTTCCTTCCTTCCTTCCTTTTTCTTTCTTTCTTTCTTTCCTTCCTTCCTTCCTTTTTCTTTCTTTCTTTCTTTCTTTCTTTCTTTCTTTCTTTCTTTCTTTCTTTCTTGTTCTTTCTTTTTCTTTCTTTCTTTCTTCTCTCTCTCTCTCTCTCTCTCTCTCTTTTCCTTCCTCTTTCTTTCTTTCTTTCTTTCTTTCTCTTCACAAAGTCTCTTTGGATCTCATCACTGATTCATTTTTTTAATCTCATTTTTCCTCTTTTTTCACAGTGCACCAAAATCAATATTTCTCTCTCTCTCTTAATATTTACTGAGCAATTGGAGGCCAGCACCAATGGAAGTCAGTGCCATGCTACAATAGGCACTGACAATTGCAAAAAAGAAGAAAGGAAGAGATAGTAAATATTCTGCAAAGTCTCTCCGACGGGATTCTGCCCTTTTGGACTCTGTGTAAAGCTCCTCGCTTCCTGATGGTGCTATACAAGGAAAGAGGTAATCAGGAATAATTCTAAGAACAAGAAGATGTTTGTCTAACTCATAAAGCACTTACTTTGCGTGATAGCCATGACTCCTGACAAAGGCGTCATAATGAGATTCTGGGATTGTTGTGGGGTGTGATGGGAAAAGCTGTGGATGTTGGTGAGGGTACTGACCGGGGGGAGCCCACCGCCAGAAACTGTAATCTGTCAAGGGAAGAAAGAACAAAAAGTCAGAATTTAGGAATGGACCATTAACAGTGCAATATTATCAACCCATAGTAACAGTGTGCCAAAACAGAGCCTATAATGATTTCGCTGCTTTCCTGGCAGCGACAAATGAACTAAAAAATTATATTTGTAACTTAGATATAATGTTGGTAATCTTCCTGTTAAGATTTCAGATTTTATATTCTGTGTTTTGTATTTTACCCCTGTGTTCCTTTTGACTGATACATGATGTGAAAGTGCCATACAATAAATAAATAAATAAACAAATAAATAAACAAATGAATAAAAAACCAATATTATCCATCTTGTGCCACTCTTGTTAATGCAGAGTAGCAAGAGCCAAACTTTTTAAAATCAACAAGTATTCGATTTATTCATCCAAAATTTTAGGACTGTGCCCGTGGTCCTCAGACAACTGTGCAGTGTCGTCTTTGCCCTATTTACAGGAAATCCTCGACTTCCAACACTTCATTTGGTGATTGTTTGAAGTTACAATGGCACTGAAAAAAGTGACTGATGGCCGTTTTTCATACTTACGACCTGGCAGCATCCTCATGGTCATGTGATCAAAATTCGGATGCTTGGCAACTGACTCATATTTACGACGAGTCAATGGAAGAAGCCGGCTTCATTTAACAACCATGAGATTCACTTAAGAACCATGGTGATTCGCTTAATAACCACAGCAAAAAAAGGTCCTAAAATTGGGCACCCCTTAATTAAGAACTGTTTTGCTTAGCGGCTGAAGTTCTGGTCCCAAGTGTGGTGGTACCTGTAGATCAGGGGTCCCCAAACTTGACAACTTTGAGACTTGTGGACTTCAACTCCCAGAATTCCCCAGCCAGCATGGGGGAACTATGGCCCCTTCATGACTTGTGGACTTCAACTCCCAGAATTCCCCAGCCAGCATGGCTGGCTGAGGAACTCTGGGAGTTGAAGTCCACAAGTCTTAAATTTGGGGAGCCCTGCTGGCATTTTGCTTTAAGTGAAACCCACCATAACCTCCTCCAATCCCTGAGGTATTTTGCTAAGCATGATTCTAAATTCCTTTAACTTCATAATTCCTACAGAGGTTTCACTTGAGGAAAAAAGACTGTCTTGAAAGTATGCCTCACATTTCATTTAAAGGGGGTGGCAGGAATCCTTGGCAACTGGCTGTCTGGAGGCCCACCTGACCCTGGCTTCAAGAGTCAACAAATGACTTTCTGGATGGAAGACCAGGCTGTCTCAGTCAAGAACTATGCATCCCCAACCAGGGAGAGAGAAAAAAGGAAGGCCATAAAAACCATCTAGTGTGACATGAATCAGTCAAGCTAGGCCAAGAAAAATAACCCCACCAGATGAATTGCTAAAATATTCTGAGTCTGCTGCCACTGAGGGCAGGCAGAGCCCAAACAAAGAGGGAGGAAACAGATACATTACAGGGAGTCCTCGACCTACAACAATTCATTTAGTGACCATTCATAGTTACAACGGCACTAATACTACCAGTTGTTTAGCAACCGTTCCAAGTTACAACGGCACTGATACAGCCATTTGTTTACTGACCGTTCGAAGTTACGATGACTCTGAAAAAAGTGATTTATGACCAGTTTTCACACTTATGATCCTTGCAGCATCCCCATGGTCATGTGATCAAAATTTAGATGTTTGGCAACTGGCATGTATTTATTATGACAGTTGTGCTGTCCTGGGGTCATTTGATCTCCATTTGTGACCTTCCCAGCCGGCTTCCAACAAGCAAAGTCAATGGGAGAAGCCAGATTCGTTTAACGACCACCTGATTCACTTAACAAATTCAGTGATTCGCTTAACAACTGTGGCAGAAAAAAGAATGTAAAATGGGACACCATTCACTTAACAACTGCCTTGCTTAGCAATGGAAATTTTGGCTTCAGGGGTGTTGGTACGTCGAGGACTACCTGTCATACAAAGGAGTTAAAAAATATATAGATAGATAGGCTTCAGATGAAGAGATAGATTAGGGGTCTTCAAACGTGGCCCTTTATGACTTGTGGACTTCAACTCCCAGAATTCCTCAGCCAGGAATTCTGGGAGTTGAAGTCCACAAGTCATAAAAGGGCCAAGTTTGAAGGCCCCTGAGATAGATGTTTGAAATTGACTGTATTTTGCCAAGTGTGTTCACAGGAAAGGTTTTTAGGCCATCAGAGCATTGACTCTTCTTGTTGTCGATTTTAGCAATCTGGCACTGTGGCATCCTCCTGTTTTGAAAGTACATATTTTGCTCACGCAGAGGGCATCGGTCAAGGATGGGTCTCCATTCAACTTGCCAACTGGCGGATGGGAAGATCAACAGTGGTGGGAAAACTGTTTTCTAGAAAGGTTCATGAGGTTTGGTGCCACCAACCTCGTTGCCTCAGATTCTCCTGTTAGGCTGTAGGCCAGTGTTTCTCAAGCTTGGGGACTTTAAGATAGGTAGACTTCCACTAACCAGAATTCTCTAGCCAGCAGGACTGACTGGAGAATACTGGAGGTTGAAGTCCACCCATCTTAACGTCCCCAGGGTTGAAAAACACCGCTGTAGGCAATTCCATGATCTATCCTGCCCCCACAAAGTCTGGGTGGAAAGAACAGTTTCATAGTTCAGGCTAAGGGCCTGTTCCCATCTTTGTATCAAAACACACTACAAAATACTCTGCAGCAGTGTTTCTCAACCGTGGCGACTTGAAGACCTTTGGACTTCAGCATAGCTAGCTGGGGAATTCTGGGAGGTGAAGTCCACAGGTCTTCAAGTCGTCAAGGTTGAGAAACACTGCGTTAGAAAACCGGAAGAGACTTCTGTGGACATAAAGATCGTTCTTATACGGTTACCAAATACTAGGCCAAAAGGCAACATCTCCTCCTATTTGTCCTCATGTCCTCTATCTGGCAGGCATAGCTGTAACATCAACTCCAGGTAGCTCTTGATTTACGATCCCAGTTGAGCCCAATATTCCAGTTGCTAAGTGAGGCAGTTCTTCAGTGAGTTTTGCCCCATTTTACAACCTTTCTTGCCACAGTTAAGTGAATCACTACAGTTGATAAATTAGTAACACGGTTGTTAAGTGGCTTCTCCATTGACTATGCGTGTCAGAAGGTCTCAAAAGGAGATCACATGACCTTTGGACACTGCCACCGTCATAAATATGAACCAATTGCCCAGCGTCCGAATTTTGATCACCTGACTGTGGGGATGTTCAACAGTTGTAAGTGTGAAAAATGGTCATAAGTCACGTTTTTCAGTGTGGTTGTAACTCTGAACGGCAATTAAGCAAATGGTTGTAAGCCGAGGACTACTTATACCGGGTAACCCTACATTCATATCAACCTCACAAAAACCTCTAAGCAAGACTGATCCAAGACATTTGCTGCCAACGGCAATAGACAAGATGGTGCTGCTTGTTCATGGGCACAAAGATTATTGACCGAAGTGAGCCCTTCAATCAACTCTGGATTTTGAGAGATTTATTGCTCTCCAAGAAGAATAGCTGAACAACCAAAGGACTGTCAATGTGATCTCCACAATTTACAAAGGGAGCTGGTTGTTTCACTACACCCACTGTAGAATGGTCTTTGCTTCCTAGGAACCAAACTCCTGACCTGGGATCAGGGAATTGGGTATGTCTAGTTTAGTGAAAAGAAGGACGAGGGGGGACAGGACAGCAGTCTTCCAATATCTCAGGGGTTGCCATAAAGAAGAGGCAGTCATGCTATTCTCCAAAGCACCTGAGGGCAGGACAAGAAGCAACGGATGGAAACTGATCAAGGAGAGAAGCAACCTGGAACTAAGGAGAAATTTCCTAACAGTGAGAACAATTAATCAGTGGAACAACCTGCCTCCAGAAGTTGTGAGTACTCCAACACTGGAGGTTTTTAAGAAGAGACTGGACAGCCATTTGTCTGAAATGGTATAGGGCAGGGGTAGGCAACCTTGGCTCTTTTATGACTCGTGGACTTCAACTCCCAGAATTCCTGAGCCAGCCACGCTGAGGGGAAAGGGAGAGGTTTCCAAGTTGAGCCATGCTGGCTCAGGAATTCTGGGAGTTGAAGTCCACAAATCATAAAAGAGCCAAGGTTGCCTACCCCTGGTATAGGGTTTCCTGCCAGAGCAGGGGGTTGGACTAGATGACCTCCAAGTCTTCCAACTCTGTTATTCTGATCAGACATTCATATTTCACGCCGTAAACTGCCCATAAAATGTAAAGAGAATTAAAATGTTCCTCCACATAGAACATTGTTCCTTCTCCTCTTCCCCCAAGGAAGGAGACATTCCTCAGTTTAGCTAAGCCAGGCATGCATGTATAATAAGTTAAAAAAAAATATTAGCAAAAAAAGCCAACATTAGGCTCTAGCTCATCTTGGAAAAACAATTAGGACAGAAAAAAAAAAGAATTAATACGGCAAGGGAGGGGAAATCACCTGATTGGGAAAGAATTTAAACCCTGTGGTAAAAGACTTCACAGGTCCATTATGGCATTCTCTGGAATAATGGCCCCCGAGATATGCTAGGAATTAAACCCTGGAATAATTCATAGGTCAAACTCTGGTCTATTTACATTTTTACCTGCTATTGTATTAGGAATGCATTTTAAATGATAACTTGTGTTTTGCTATCCCGATAGTACAACACAAACCCTATTTGCTTAGGACAGGGGTCTTCAAACGTGGCCCTTTTATGACCGGTGGACTTCAACTCCCAGAATTCCTCAGCCAGGCATGCTGGCTGAGGAATTCTGGGTGTTGAAGTCCACAAGTCATAAAAGGGCCAAGTCTGAAGACCCCTGGTTTAGGAGAAAGTCGAATTAAGTTTACTCTGAGATGAGCGTGCCCAGGACAATGGTGTAAAGCGCTGTGCACTTTCACAGCTGGTTTATGATCCTAAGTAAAAAATGCATATGCCATTTTCCTCCAATTAAATCAGGGAACAGAGATTGTAGGAAAGACCCTTGCAATTCAAATACAAACAGGAAAAGCAGAAACACCTATTCACGCTGGTATTATTAAGAGGGAGAAATTGACATGTAAGCTCTGGAATCCTTTTGTGCTTGGTTTTTTTTTTTTTAAATCCTTTTTACAAGAAGCAACGGATAGAAACTAATCAAGGAGAGAAGCAACCTAGAACTAAGGAGAAACTTCCTGACAGTTAGAACAATTAACCAGTGGAACAACCTGCCTCCAGAAGCGGTGAATGCTCCAACACTGGAAGTTTTTAAGAAGAAACTGGACAGCCATTTGTCCGAAATGATATAGGTTTCCTGCCTGAGCAGAGGGTTGGACTAGATGACCTCCAAGATCCCTTCCAACTTTTTTATTATTATTATTATTATTATTATTATTATTATTATTATTATTATTATTATTATTATTATTATTATTATTATTATTATTATTATCTTTTATTCATTAAACATGAATCTCAGTCAACTGAACATTCAGATTGGCTGGCGCTGATGGTTGACATGGGTTGCTACCAGCATCCTAGGTGTCAACCAGGTATCTCCTTAAAATATAAGATGTTCCGAGTAGTGCAGTTTTTTGCAACATCATCATCATCATCATCATCATCATCATCATCATCATCATCATCATCATTATTATTATTATTATATCACAGAGGTCTGGGGTGAAACCATCAGTGCTGATATTATCTAGTTTAATAATAAAACGTCTACAAGAAAATCGCCAAGCTCAGACAGCATCAAGTACCCCACAGAAGAAAACAATTTATACTTTCATCTGCCCAATAACTAAATAGTAGCTAAATAATAACTAAACTAAAGACAAATATATATTTTTCTCTTTTTATTTCCTGTTTATGCTGTTCTTCAGGACAACCCTAATAAATTTGTTATTATAAATCAGGTACCAAGCTGGGATGTTTTATAGCCCAAAACTCAATGAAACCAATTTTTCTATTATGGTAGAATATTATACAGCTCGAACAGAAGAACTCAGCCCAATATTACAGCAAATGCTAAGTTATCAATGGCACTATCCTAATAAAAGTATTTTTTTTATCACCGTATCCTTCATCCCATTTGATATCTATATTTGTAGAACTAAAGGGAGGAAAAAAGGATGGTTGAAGCTTGCTAAATAAAATCATAAAATTTGAAGAGTGAAGTGGAACCCGGGATGACTTAATCAAGTTTTTGTTGGGCTGGCTTTTTTTTTTTTTAAATCATGGGGAATGTCATCAGCAGCGAAGAGTAAATAGTGATCCACCCTCTTGTGCCAATTCAAGAGGCATTCGATCAATACCCTGAGAACAGTTTTTATTGGCATGTTTCAATGCCTAAGCAGGGAACGGGAAGGTCAGAAGGCTATTTTCTCTGACAGCACTCAGGCCTTTACCCTCCTCATGCCTACAAGCCTTTCATTGTTTAATGCTGGTCTTGAGGGGGGGGGGAAGGAGAGTTTTAACATGTAGGGGGAAAAAAAAGAAAGTTTTGTTTGTTTTTTGCCTCCTAAGCCAACTTATCTTATCAGCACCGGAGGTACAATAGCCCAGGTGTGCTCACCATTTTACCGTCCGGGGACAGCAGGCTGTGGCTGTGACCTGGGTCCAAACTGGCTGGAGATACTGGCTGGAGAATGGACTGGCTGGTGGTGACCATTGAGTTGTTACCATGATGGCTGATGGAAGCTGAGGAAGTGACTTCATTGCCGCCTGGATGGCTGTAGCGGACCCCTGTGAAAATGCAATCACATAGAAGAAATCATGGCAATTTTAAAAGTTAAATTATAATATATATATATATATAATATAATATAATGATCAAGTTGGAAGGGACCTTGGAGGTCGTCTAGTCCAACCCCCTGCTCAGGCAGGAAACCCTATACCAGGGGTAGGCAATTTTGGCTCTTTTATGACTCCTGGACTTCAACTCCCAGAATTCCTGAGCCAGCCATGCTGAGGGAAAAAGGAGAGGTTTCCAAGCTGAGCCATGCTGCCTCAGGAATTCTGGGAGTTGAAGTCCACGAGTCATAAAAGAGACAAGGTTGCCTACCCCTGCCCTATACTATTTCAGACGAATGGCTGTCCAGTCAATTAGGAAAAATGTAGGAGTGCATTTGTGTTATTTGTTATTTATTTATATCCCACGCTTATGACTTTTATGAGCAACTCAAGGCAGCGAACACACATACTTCCTCCTCATATTTGTCCCACAACAACCCTGTGAGTTGGATTGGGCTGAGAGAAGGGGACCAGCCCCAAGTCATCCAGCCAGCTTTCATGCCCATGGAGGAAACTAGAATTCACCGTCTCCTGGTGATTGTGATTTTTATTATTGCCTGTTCACTGCCCTGGGTCCCGTAAGGGAGATAGGGCGGTATATTAATTTAAATAATAAATAAATAATAAATAAATTGGCTCAAAATCAACCACCCGACTTTCATGCCTAAGGCGGGACTAGAACTCAGTCTCCTGATGATTAGACCAAAGTCACCTAGCTGGATTTTTATGTCTAAAGCAGAATGAGAACTCACAGGTTGCTGGCAATACGTCTCGACTTACGACCACAACTGAGCCCAAAGTTTCTGTTGCTAAGCAAGAAAGTTGTTAAATGAGTTTTCCCCATTTTACGACCTTTCTTGCCACAGCTGTTAAGCGAATCACTGCAGTAGTTAAGTTAGTAACATGGTTGTTAATTGAATCTGGCTTTCCGACTGCATAACCGATTCTTAGGTGGGGGGGAGGGGTTTCCAGAATTTGGGATTCAATTAACACTTATAAGTGCTGTTTCACATTCTGCTGAAACCAAGATTTCCAAGATCTGAGATCAATATATAGAATAGAATAGAAGATAGAATAGAATAACAGAGTTGGAAGGGGCTTTGGAGGTCTTCTAGTCCAACCTCCTGCTCAGGCAGGAAACCCTACACACCATTTCAGATGAATTGTTGTCCAGTCTCTTTATATAGCGGTTGCAGGATTTAGATTTGGTTAGTCTAGAGAAAAGAAGGACTAGTGTTGACACAATAGCAGTCTTCCAGTATTTGAGGGGCTGTATCAAAGAAGAGGAGGTCAACCTATTCTCCAAAACACCCGAGAGCAGGACAAGAAACAATGGGTGGAAACTAATCAAGGAGGGAAGCAACCTGGAATTAAGGAGAAACATCCTAACAGTGAGAACAATTAACCAGTGGAATGACTTGCCTCCAGATGTTGTGAATGCTCCAACAATGGAAATTTTTAAGAAGAGATTGGACAGCCACTTGTCTGAAATTGAGCACGGGGTTGGACTAGAACAGGGCTCTCCAACCTTTACAACTTTAAGACTTGTGGACTTCAATTCCCAGAATTCCTCAGCCACAAGTCTTAAAGTTGCCAAGGTTGGAGACCCCTGGACTAGAAGACTTCTATTCTATTCTATTCTATTCTATTCTATTCTATTCTATTCTATTCTATATTTCTATTCTATTCTATATTACTGTTCTGTTCTGTTCTGTTCTATTCTATTCTTCTGAATATAAATACTGCAGAAATACTGCATATAAATACCGCACATCCCATACTACCTCACACTGATTTATCTGTGTGTCTATTGTCTGAAAACCAAGCTGCCAGGAATTCATAAGATCAGAGGTGCCCAATCTTGGCAACTTTAAGACCTATGACTTCAACTCTCAGAATTCCCCAGCCAGGCAGCTTCCTTGTTTTAAGATTCCAACTTTTAAATTTGTCGCAGAGATCACAACTTTCATGTTTTGGGCAGAATGAAATAAACGTCAAATGTTTCCCCCTTCTCGAGAAAAATATTCATCAAGGTTATTTAATATTTGCTACATGAGTAGATCCTTGTCTTATATTTTTCAACGTGCTTTATTCCTGTCTTTTCAGAGAGACTATCCTGCAAATGGGTATTTTTTTAACTATTTAAAACTTTATATTTCACCATTGCTTCTTTATAATCATTGTAGGATTTGCTTTCTCACAATCGGGTATATTGATATACGATGGACAGTCCCTTGTCTGAGATGGTATAGGTTTTTCTGCTTGAACGGGGGGGGCTGGACTAGAAGACCTCCAAGTTACTGTCCAGCTCTATTCTATTCTATTCTATTCTATTCTATTCTATTCTATTCTATTCTATTCTATTCTATTCCTACATTAATCTCTTTCTTTCTCCTTCTGTAACTAATCCTCAAACCAGGGCTTCTAGCATCAATAGCTGACATTTGTCCTGGCTCAAGGCATCCTACACTGCACTCTGAATGGCTAATTTAACTTTGTGGAATAGAATAGAATAGAATAGAATAGAATAGAATAGAATAGAATAGAATAGAATAGAATAGAACACTTAGACTTGTATACTGCTTCACAGTGCTTTAAGCCCTCTCTAAGTGGTATAGAGAGTCAGCATCTTGCCTCCAACAATCTGGGTCCTCATTTTACGCTGGCTGAGGAATTTGGGGAGTTAAAGTCCACAAGTCATAAAAGGGCCAAGTTTGAAGATCCTGTTCTAGATCTCTCTTGCCAGATGCTGAGTGGAAGCAGAATCCATTCTGCAAAATGTCATATGTATTCTTCATTTGCTTAACTTATATAATACATTGGTATCTCTTCAGAGGTGGTTGCTCCATCACTGGAGATGGAGAGACTGGACAAGCCATTTGTCTGAAGTGGGTATAGGGTTTCCTGCTTGAGCAGGGGGTTGGACTAGAAGACCTCCAAGGTCCCTTGAAACTCTGATGATATTCTATGTTCCATGTTCTTCTCTTCCCATGTCACCCTCTGATGCTTCTCGTGAAACACATAGTAAGGTTCTGCAGTCCAGCATTCTTAAACTGATTGCTCGTTGCAGCCACCAGCAATAGTGAAGAAAAACAGACATTGCCTCTCACTCAACAGGTGCACCGAAGTAGGCATGGAATGATTCATTGCAGAGGTGTTTAACTTGGTTAAAAATAAATGTCCCAAGCCTTCAGAGACAACCCCTGGATGCCATACTGGCAGGCACATTAAGCAGATCAGAAATAATTAACCAAGGAGCCCAGCTGAGAAACAAAACGCCTATTATCAGTTCTGGGATTCCAGAGTGATTTGTTATAAACTGCCATATTCCATCCCAGCAAAAATGCTGTCTGTCGCTTTCACAAGTCCGCCATCTCCACTAATTTTGGGGAAAGGCTCGAAGAGAGCAAAATAACATAACCATGGAAAAGGATCGTCGGTTGTGTTTAAGCAGCCAAAGCAATCGGGCCAGTCTGTGGGTCTCTGCAGAAACTTTCTGGTTTTGTCCAGATGGTGAAAGCACCAATAAGCCACAAGCTTCACCCCCTTCACACATGCATGAGATGACCCCTGGACGCTGCAACCATTCGTACATAACATGCCAAGTTCCTGAGTTTTGATCCCGTGTCCAAAGGGGATGCTGCAATAGTTGTAAATGCAATGATTAGAGGTAGACACCATTGAGCCCCACATTTCCGTTGCTAAGAGAGACATGTGTTAAGTGAGCTTTGCCCCATTTTACGATCTTTCTTGCCACAGTTGTTAAGTGAATCATTGCAGTAGTGGGGTTAGTAGCACGTCTGTTAAGTGAATCTGGCTTCCTCCCATTGATTTTGCTTGTCAGAAGGTCGCCAAAGGGGATCACATGACCCCGGGACACGGCAAGTGACATAAATAGGAGCCTGTTGCCAAGCATCCAAATTTTAAATCACGTGGCCGTGGGGATGCTGCATCAGTCATAAGTGTGAAAAACAGTGATAAGTCACTTTTTTCAGTGCCGTCGTAACTTTGAACAGTCATTAAATGAAGCGTTGTTAAATCAAGGACTATGTAGTTGTCCGTCATTTTATTCAGTGCCATTGTCCCTTCAAATAGTTGCTGGACAAATGGTTATAAGTCCTTGACTTATAACCTGTATGCCAATCCTAGATTGAGAAAAAGGTGGAGAGCAACCTCATCAGTTGCTCCCTGGTAAAGGGGACTGCCCTCATTTTTTAAAATCAATACTTTCTCATGACTTTTGATCTCCAAAATTCCTTCCAAAACTTCCATTCTATTATTCGATCCCAACACTTTTAGGAATCGTCAAAGGTTTCCCAGGAACGTGACCATCACAAACTCTCAAACTTTTCAGTGTTCCCTCTCCCTGTTCAAGTTAGGTATATTGCTGTAGTAGCCATCCCTTAAAGCAAGGGGATAATATTTTATTTTTATTGAATGCTACTTTCTCCTGGGTTTAATTTTCTGGGGTTTGTACGCTGGCAATGAGCCAGGACTGCATAAAGTTCTCTTTCATCTTTCTCTTTTTGCCTCCCTTTTTCCTCTGATCTCCAACACCCCCCCCCCAAAATATTATTCCATTCCGTGCAAAGGGGGAAACACTGCAATTGCCAGGTGTTGGGACTGCTTACTTGAAAAGGTATTTGGAAATTAAGCTAAGGGCTGCACAGAAGTAGTCAAAAAGCAGCATATATGGGGCATCTACCAAACGTATTCATGTTCAGCCCAGCAAATCCAGTTACAAAACCCAAAGGTGCTTTTTCAGAAGGCAACTGGACTTTCTTGTTTTTTGTTTTTGTTTTTGAAGACGTTTCACTTCTCGTCTAAGAAGCTTGTTCAGCTCTGACTGGATGGTGGGGAATGGAAGGATTTATACTCCTTGCAGAGAGCTGGTCATTTGCATTTTTAGAGAGTTGTTGAGGCCACTCAGAGGTTTATCTGTGTCCTGAGGG